ATTATACCTGTCGAAGGGCTGTAGAGCCCGAAAGCTTGTATTATCGTGATAAAAAGAAACTCTTACCTCAGCGAATCTTCCTTTTTTAATAATTTTACCGTGGGGATTATAGCATGTCAAGAATGATCAGGTCAAGAGAGAATTGCTTTGACCGACCTCTTACAAGATATAAGGTCCCCAAGAAGGTCGGCAGAATCTGAGAGCCACGTGAGAAATTTAGGTAACATTATAAAAAACTCTCTATATTTGTTTATTTGAGAGATGAAAACAAAATTTATGCAAATATATCATAGTAAATATATGTTTTGTTAATACAGTAGAACTTGGTTAATTCGAACGTCTTTAATTCGAAAACGTCTTTAATTCGAATATTTATCTTGTTCACTAGAATTTCTTATAAATATAATTTCCGTTTTTAATTCGATTTTTTTTTACCCTTGGACTTCGAATTATCCAAGTTCGACTGTATAATTTTGTTGGGTTGAATTATATTGTGATAATTTTTGTTTATAAGATGAAGACAAAAGAGGTATACAAAGCATAGTGTAATATATGTTTACTGTTTATATAATTTAATCAATTCATTTATTGATAAATTGCCCTGTTTTTCAAGACTATAGAATCGACAATAATTTAATAGTAGCAGATATTTTATTTCCAGTAAAGAAATGTATATTAAATTCAATACATTTTGTAGATATATTTTAAATGATATAGCAACAAATATATTTTAAAAAACTGATAATATATATTATGCTGATTGTACATATTGCCAGACACTTCTTTCTTTTGTACACAGTTCTTTTTTCTCGTTTTTTTTCTTTCTTTCTCATTGTTAATATAATATGAATATTCTATTCACGGCCTAAAATTATTGTATATACGTATATGTAAAGACAAATGTGAGGACATACATGTATGACAGCGCAAGTGTCCATAAGGGGACATAGCGCTTTAAATAAAAAAAAAAGTAATTTCATTTAAGTTTTGACCAGATAGCCAAAGTATATGCAAATAGGTTATTATTACTGTTAAGTGTATGTATGATATCTCCAGATAGTTAGCGCTCTGCACTCCAGGAACCTGAATTTTCTCTTTATTTATGTTTTCAGAAGCGATATAGTTAATTACTATTATACGAGGGGTGTCCCATAAGTCCATTGCCCGACCATGAAAACGAAATATTAAAAACTAATAAATTTTGCCATATATACCTTAAAGTCTTGTATAAAGATATGTAAATTTTTAAGTTTCTACAACTAACCGTTTTTTGTTATAGGTTCTGAAAGAGGAAAAGAAACAGGAATAATCTAAAATGGAGACAAACGAGATTCGTGCTGTAATAAAATATCTTTGTAAGAAAGAAATGTCGCCGAAGAAAATCTATGAGGATATGGTGGATACATTAAGGGAAGATGCTCTTCCTATAGCACAGTAAAAAAGTGGGTAGCTGCGTTTAAATTAGGGAGGATCAGCACCGAAGACGAACATCGACCAGGAAGACCTGTTGAGTCAGTTACTCAAGAAAACATCGACAAGATACATGATTTGATTATATTGGACAGAAGAATGACAGTTCGTCAGATAGAAGAGACCTTGGGTATTCCAAAATCAACGGTGGATCGGATCATGAGAGAACACTTGGGCCTCAGGAAGCTTTCTGCCCGTTGGGTTCCCAAACTTTTGACGCCCGATCAAAAGGCTGTAAGGAGAAAGTTATCTTCGGACAATCTTGCATTATTTGAAGCCAATCCAGAGGAATTTGTTAATAGATTTGTTACCATGGATGAGACTTGGGCCCATCACTTTACACCAGAGTCCAAGCAACAATACATGCAATGGAGACACTCCGGTTCCCCTCTCCCCAAGAAAGCCAAGACAGTTTCATCAGCAGGAAGGTTATGGTGTCTGTCTTTTGGGATTCCGAGGGTGTACTCCTTCTGGACTTTCTGAATAAGGGTCAAACCATCACTGGCAATTATTATGCAAATCATATGAAGCAACTACGAGAAGCTATTAAAGAAAAGAGAAGAGGAAAGTTGACCAGGAAGATTGTTTACCATCAAGACAATGCTCCGAGTCATCGGTCGCTGCAAGCCATGGCTGCTATTTATGATTCTGGCTTTGAACTTTTACCACATGCACCCTATTCACCAGATATAGCTCCGTCTGACTTCCACCTATTTACTCATTTGAAAAATCACTTTCTGTCATTCATTTTAGGTCAAATGGAGAGGTCATTGATGCTGTAATCTCATTTTTTGAGTCACTTGAAACATCGTTCTTTTTGGAGGGCATAAAAGCATTAGAACATCGCTGGAAAAGTGTGTATAGACCTTAAAGGGGATTATGCTGAAAAATAAATCATAATCACTTTATTAGTCATTTTCTTTATTAGTTGGGCCACCGACTTATGGGACACCCCTCGTAAATAAGTGCCGCTTAAATGTAGTTGAATGTAGCAGGCATACAGGAAGAAAACTTTACACACAGTTTCTAACGGTTTCAGCTAAAATTTAAAAATTTGATTTAATAGACTTGCAATGTGTGCTAGTTACTTTGGTGGCGATGGCCGTTCGGATGAGTTATCCTCATAGATACAGTAGAACTTGGAAAATTGTACGTCTTTAATTCGAAAACGTCCTCAATTCGAATATTTATCTTGGGCCCTAGACTTTTAAGCCTTTTATTCGAAACATTTTTAATTCGAATTTTTGGATAATTCGATTTTTTTGGTCCCTTGGGCTTCGAGTTATTCAAGTTCGACTGTAGTTAGATTTGACGGTAATTTTTAAATTTACCCTCAGGTCGGGAGTATCGTCTGTCGATGGGTTTTACAGTGAGCTTGAGTATATTTGAGTGGAAAAAGCGTTCTGGGAATATTTGAAGGGAGAATTTTTGGATTTCTCAAAAGGATAAATGAAGAGATTTACCAAAAAATTTCAAAGTATATCAACTTATTGATAAGCTCTACAAATATTAAGTGTTCTAAAAGAGACATTGGTATATAAAGTGAAACCAATAAGCAACCACTTTTGTAAAAAAAAACAAAAATTATATGACTTGACCAAACCTAGCTTTTAATGAGAAGCTATCTTAGACCATAAATCAAGAGGATCTATGTTTTTTCCTATAATTCATACTTTACAAATAAATATATAATTTTTATTATTATATTTTTGGTTATAACCCCCCCCCCCCCCCCCTATCCCTAGCGAGGTATTGTTTTGTTAGAGCCAGATAATCCCTGTTGCCTTTGTTGATTGGTCAGAGGAGTATGTCACATTTTCTAAAAATTAGAATTTTTCCACACGTTTCTTATTATCCTTTTCAAATGTGTAGGTTTTAGAAGATTCTGTTGAAAGGCAAATTAATACGTCTTTTCAATCACCCAAAATCTTTTTTTTATTTTGTTTCTTATTCCAAATGGCGGTCACAAGGATATCCTGGGATTTATGGAGGATCAAACAGGTCTTTGTTCGCTTCTGTTCCTGTTCATTGCAAATTAGCATTATGTAGTCCGCCCACTGGTTAGGAATTTTGATCTTTTTCAGAGACCAATTCATTGGCGAAGGTCCTCGGTCCCATATTACTAAAGGATATGTTTTTTTTTTTTTTTTTTTTTAATTAAGGACACCTATAACAGCGCTAGCATTTTGATTAAATTTTACCTGTTGGAAATCAGAACGATTCTCCAGCCTAGATATTATACTAAAACATAACATGAATCTTGAACGTGTTACAGAACGTGTTTCAACCATCATTCAAGGTTAGATAAATTTCGTATTATAAAGCCAACACTTTGCGCTGAATTAATTTGTTTTAATTCGCTAATTTCAATATTTTTAATTAAGCCGAAATAGCTCAGTTGGGAGAGCGTTAGACTAAAGATCTAAAGGTCCCTGGTTCGATCCCGGGCTTCGGCATTTATTTTTTATAAATTCTTTTCATTAACAGAAAATTAAACCCATATAGATATTAAAAAAAAGGCATCTCCTCTTTTTTACTATATAGATATGTTGGGTATAGAAAAAATGGCATACTCTGTGAAATAAAAACGAATTTTATAAAGATTTGACCCACAAGTTCCTAGCATGCAGAACGCCAACTACCTAAGTTGTCCAACTCACGTATGGAGTAGTGCTAGCAACTAATCGCGTTTGGATTTGATTGTTGAGCTGAGGCAGTAGACAGGGAACTCCAATACTGAGGTAGATCTGGCCATAGATTTAAAGTTTATGTGCTACATCCTAAGCGGAAAATCTATTTGTATCCTAGGATCCTTGTCTCAGGAAATATGTAAAACTGAAGAAGAGGTAATCTAAGTGATTCTAATGAACATTTAGGGTAAGTTGGGTATTTTAGGAAGACCACTGTGTGGAGGCCTCCCATTCTGTATTTATTTGTAGAAATTTCAAGAGATGGTTTGAAGTGGATGCAATTCTCCCTAGGTCGAGTAGTCCTGGAAACTTGCAGGTAGTTTCTTGGGACAGCCGTATAATTCCTCTGTTGTCCTTGTTGATTGGTGTGCCAGGGGAGTGTGTCCCATTATATAGAAATTAGAATTTTTTTCCCACCTTTTCTATATATTTTTTCAAATGTGTCCATTTTTGCAGACGTCAACAATATAATTTGTGGTTTTAGAATATTCAGTTAAAAGGCAAATTAATACTTATTTTTCAATCATCAATTTTATTTTTGTTCCTTATTCCAAATAAGGTCATAAGTATATACTCTTGGATTTTTTTTCCATTTTGCATTATTTTTTGTTTACATCTGATTAAAAATCCTGGATTTAACGGATTTCAATAGTTTCCTACTTGTGAAGCTGGACTTGGAGGATCGAACAGGTCTTTGTGCGCTTCTTTTCCTGTTCATTGCAGCATAGCAATATGTAGCCGCCCATTGGTGAAGGATTATGATCTTTTTCGGAGACCAATTCATTGGCGAAGGTCTTCGGTCCCATAATACTAAAGGACATGTTTGTTGGGGTTTGGGACACCTGTAATGGCGCTCAGTTGGGAGACCGTTAGACTGAAGATCTAAATGTCCCTGGTGTTCGATCCCGTGTTTCGGCATTTATTTTTATATAAATACTTCTCATTAACAGATTAATAAACCAACATAGCTCTCTAGAAAATGGCTCTTTCTGCGATGTATACACCGTAACTAATGTAGAGTATAAAATTATAGTCTATTTGATTAATCAATCAGGTTTTTCTGGAGTCATGCGCAGATATCAACTACCTAGTTGCCCTATAGACATACCTCTTTTAGTTCTTATGTACAAGACCAATGGAGATCCAAATCAATATTGAAGTTTCAATTTCAAGAATTCCATGAAATAAGCTCATCTGATAAATATAAATGAAGCAAAACTATTTTTAATCTATGGCTTTCCGAATTTTGCAGAAGTGAAACATTGATTGTTCCCAGATCTAAATTAGTTAACTCTCTTACACCAACCACTTTGTTTATACAAATTTTATGAACTGTCGCTTGATACATGTAAATCTCTAAATATTTTATCTCAAGTTTCATATCTCGATATATTCAATTTCTTAAGCCTTGTTTGATAATAAATAAGTAAATAAAAATACATTATGAAATATTAGAAAAGAAACTACAAGTTTCTAACTCGATTTATTATTATTATTATTATTTTCAAATAGAGCGATTTCTCTCCTACTGTCCTTACTGTGGTGGAAAATATAGGGAGGGCCTGGCTCATCACTGGTAAACTCTCCCAGCGGTCAACAGCTTAATCCATCAAACCACCGCTCTACTATGGGCGGTGTACTGTTAATACATCCAGCTCTTTAGATGAATTATTAATGAAGATATATTTTAAAACTGTGGGAATATGGTCTAGGATAGCTAGAAAATATATTTTAATTTGAATAAGTGTTAGAATTGATATTCGTATTGAAAATAACATCGCCTATCGACTATAAATAAAGGAGAACTAGGTAAGTGCTATATTTCTTAAATTTCAAATCAAGTTTTGAAACTTAGGTCCAGGTTCGAATGACAGGTAATTTTTTTTCTTTAAATATTTAGTTGTCATGCTGCGGATTTTGCACACTCAATTTCATAAAATAAAAAGTTAATTCAAATCAATTTTTAACTATGTCGCTACAGAATTTAACATTAAAAAATGAATTTATTTTGTGATTATAACCTATTTTTTTCCTTTCTTCGTTATGTCTAGGATACTTTATGTAAATATGATGTGATTTTTTTAGTTTATAAAATAAAATTGATATTTTCTCATATTCTGTTATTTCTTCTTCTTAATAAGTTAAATGGCAACTTTTAAGTTTAATATGTAGATTCAAATATAGTATTATGTAAAATTTATTGAAATTACTTATTGACTTTCACTTTAAAGAATTCAAAATATCTTACTGAAAAATCCTATTTTAAAGCAGCCGATAGTTAGCAAATATTTTGGCAGGCGATAAGTTAGCTCTAATTGTATAAGCCTTAAGCATTATTTATTTCCACTTTCATACATTACTCATCGTATGTTAATAATAAATAATGAGAAAATGTTTTGGAACAAACTTTTTCCATTTCTTCATTTCTTTAGAACGAAACTCAATAAATGGTAACATTTGTCACACAAACTTTAGACTCATTTTTTGTGAGTGAGAATTTTCCAAGTTGAGACTGGCAACCCTGCCCTCATCTACTTAATGATAAGATAATTGTCTGCAGTTTTTTCTTGTTAGATTTCCAAAATAATATTCTCCAAGAATTTAAATAGGTTCATTTTTATAGCTCAACTACAAATTTATTTATTTCGCTTTTTAATTTTTCCTAATAAATAAAATAGTTTTTTACCTTCTTAAATATTCTATTCCTAATAAAATTGCAGATATAGATAGAGCTGGTTTACCATTGAACAGACATATTTGAATATTTTATTAGAATTATAATTATATATATAGTATATTTTAAACTGTATAATAATGACACTTTTAGTATATTTCACATATCTTCCAATTAGTTAGAACCGATACTTTATAAGATCATACCCTTCTATTAAAATGTACACTGTTCTTATTTGCTGCCACCCCCATATTTTGTATATATGCTATATCTTTATTAATATAACATATACACCCCTATTTGTATTTAAACTAAAAATGGTGACGTCAAAATAAAAAGCCAGAGTGGTCAGATGGTGGCAGCTGAGGGCAGAGAGAGAGAGGAAATAGCCAACGCCTAGCCGGCGCCTCGTGCTGGGGAGGTCCTCATCGCCCCCTTCGACGGCTCCTAAGCCGCAAACACCTTCTTGCAACAACTCGAGCAGACATCCGAGGCGCCGTGCGACGACACCACTCGGCAAGTAAGGCTCCGCGCACTGCTAAAAGGTGAGCCCCTTTCCCTCTACAACGAGTTGATTCTGGCCTCTCGGCCATATGAGCAGGCAAAACAAATCCTCATGGATATCCATCTGAGGTGACATTCACCAAATTCCTGACATATAGGCTCGATAGTCAAACTATACCCTAAATGACTACTACCGCCAAAAGGTAGCGATGAGGCTACAACTGGGCTTAACCAACCCCAATCATTGTGGAGGCACTAACCGAGGGCCTCCAGGCAAATGACCAACGCCTCATGAGGGCCGTAGCGCCCCAGACATTTACCGACTGGTACGCTACCATAAAAAGAGTGAAGGGCACGAGCTCACTCCCTATCCTGTCAGAGAAACCCCAACGTAACACCAACCTCAGTGTTGCACCACATGATGCCGGAACTCCTCCTAGGGGAAGAATCTATAACCCATATTCCACCTACAGTACCCCGAGGCACCCTTCCGGTGCCAGAAAATCACCCTCACAATTCAGACATTGCCGTGGTGATCACTGGAACAATGAGTATCCCATGGTGAACAGTCGGCTCTCCAGACCACAGGCCTACCATGGCCAGAATAGCTCGCAGAACTTTCGGCCAGAACAAAATGGTGCCCACGACTTTCCCGTGTCAGCACCAAGTTCATCCCACACCACACAAGGCAGCGGAACCTCTGCCTTTCGTCCCTGAACCACATAACATTATATGCAATACACATATTTTAGAAAACCTACGTTGTCCATTCCTCTTAGACACAGGAGCCTCCATTAATATAATTAAATGGAATATTTTCAATCATATAAGTATAAATCTACCCAATCCTTTAAAATGATACCCATGTCATATGCTAATCAATTATATATCTAATCATGTGCATACAAAAGGGTATACCTATTTAACCATTACTATAAGAAAAATAACCAAATCAATCAAATTCTATGTAATAAATAATTCATTACCTTTTGGTGGTATCTTATCTTTAAATTTAATTAGTAAGTTTTGTTTAACGTTATACTTTTATAATCAGTCTATCTATCAATGTGATGCTCCTTTGTCTAAGAGATGGTACCATATAACCTATGTGACCCCATCTAATGATGGAGAAGGGGACCTCAATCCTCCCAATATAGACCATGACATGACTAACTCACATTCCCCATCATTGCAAGGGGAAAATGTCCATTCCATACCATGTCTCACTACCCTGTCTAAGGCTTTTATACATTATGACAAAATTGCGCCCAGCCAAACTTTATTTCATGCCCCCATTTATATCCTTACCACCACCATGTTCTAATGAACATCAATGTAAAATGTTTAATGATAATTGCAATTTATGTTTAAGAAGTGATATCCGCTTAGCTTTAATAGATATTGTTAAAAGGTATTCGAATATTTTTCCACTAAAAAATATGATATTAAAAATTGAAAATTCCCCCCATTAATATCAGGACAATTTCAGATAAGATAATCACACTCAGGCCGTATCGTACATCTCTTTCAGAACAGCGTGATATACAGGAACAAATAGATAAAATGTTAGAGTATAATATTATAGAGCCTTCTTTCTCCCCCTATTCTTCCCCCGTTACTTTAGTCACCAAAAAGGATAATACAAAACGCTTCTGTGTAGACTACCGCCGCCTTAACGAAATTATTTCCCCAGATATTCACCCTCTCCCGCTCACAGACAATATATAGAATAAATTAGCGAATGCCAAAATTTATTCTCGCGCAGATTTTTCATCAGCATACTGGTCCATTTAAATAAGTCCCCCTGATATAAATGTATTATCTTTTGTCACGATAGAAGGTCAGTACAATTTCCGGAGATTGCCCTACGGGATTAAAATAGAACCACAGTTGTATGAACGAGCTGTCATTCAGATATTATAGAGAAATAAGTGTTGAATTTTATAGCGCATTACTTCGATGATTTCATTATATTCTCAAATTCCATAGAATAGCATATATGTCACTTACAAACGTTTTTTTGATATGTGCAATAGAGAAAATTTTAGATTAAACTACAAAAAATGTGACTTTTTTAGGACTACCATAGAATTTTTAGGTTATACAATATCGTCAGATACTTACACCCCACTAGTTAAAAATTTAGAAGTAATTAACGCAATAAAATTCCTACTAACGTTAAATCCCTCCAATCATTTCTAGGCGCCATTGATGTGTATAATAAGTTTATAAAAGATCACGCCCGTGTTAGGAGCCCCCTCAATAATCTTCTTAAAATACATCCCCATGGCGCTGGGACGAAAATTATTAAAGTTCTTTTGAAACTCTAAAGAAGCATATGACCTCAAACCCGATTCCACATCTCTTCAAGGAAGGGTTGCCATGTCAGCTATTCTGTGAGGCCTTACTTTAAGAAATATCTGGCATCCTGAAACAACACACCCCGACGGCACCCTACACCCTGTGCAATATTATAGCAGAGCACTCAGACCACACGAGAAGAATTATAGCATCACGGAATTGGAATGCCTTGCTATAATTGATAGTGTGGAAAAATTCCGCATCTATCTCGCGGGCGTAAGGTTCATCATTTTCACAGATCATCATGCACTCCAGTGGCTGAAAAACCATTAAAAAAACCATGTAGAAGATTTGAATAGGTAACAGTAGTAACAACTAGGTAACCAACCCAGGCTCCTGGAGCGTATCCATAGATCACCAACTACTCGGGCTGTCAGGC